GGCTCCGGGGAGACCTTAGAGCCCCTTCCAGTCCCTGAAGGGGCTCCAGGAAAGCTGGAGGGACTGGTGACAAGGGCAGGGAGTGACAGGACAAGGGGAATGGCCTGGAGCTGCAGGAGGGGAGATTTGGATGAGATGTGAGGCAGAAATCCTTCCCTGTGAGGGTGCTGAGGCCCTGGCACAGGTTGCCCAGAGAGGTTGTGGATGCCCCATCCCTGGAAGTGTTCAAGGCCAGGTTGGATGGGGCTTTGGGCAACCTGGGGTAGTGGAGGGTGTCCCTGCCCATGGCAGGGGGTGGGACTGGATGGGCTTTGAGGTCCCTTCCAACCCAAACCCGTCTGGGGTTCTGTGATCCTGTGAAAGGCAGCGAGGACCCACACCCAACGCCCGTGCTGTGACTCCCTGCAGTAGCTCTGACGCAGCAGCACAAACCACCGGGCAGGGTGCTGCTACCAGAGTCTATCCGCAGGAGTACAACCAGATTGATGCGCTGCGCTGCTCAAAAAGGTTGTGTTTTTAACATCTAAACTGTCGAACAAGCAAAACCTGCTCGTGAGCTGCCCCATATATTCACAGTAAGGTGAAAATGGCACATCAATGATCAAAATAAACTGCCTGAAAACAGTAGGTGCCAAATATAATTAACTTTTATTTTTTATTGCCTGATAATACTGTGATAATAAAAACTGTATAATGCATGATAAAAAAATTCCATGAAACAAGAATAGGTACATACTATAAAATAAAAAATACAAATACTATGTTACAATAGGGGGAAAAAAAAATTAAAAAGAAAATATTACAATAAAATAATGGTGCCAGTTTCTTCCTGTATTCCAAAATTTATTGAAAATGTTTAAATTATGAAGCACTAATATAAGTTACTTTTATTTTCTCTCTTGATTTTAAACATGCACTAACTCAAGCAGAAATAAAACCTATTAATCAATACAGACAACGTTATTAATCACGTAACATTGCACGTAGATTTAAGGAGGGATGATGCAGCAGCTGCTAAAAGAAATGCATTATAATTACTTCCCTTCCCACGGGCTTACAGAATTTAGCAATTAAAACCAGCTCAATAATTCCCAATAAAAGGAACAGCCACCGAATTAGCAATAAACTCTGATAAACGAGCAGTTGTCGTAAGAATTGTTTGTCAGAAAACTATCGAGCCCAAGATCCGCTGCGCTTCGAATGGGCTGCGCGGGGAGCGGCG